ATGTAACGTGCACATGATTTACACTGGTTCTTCAAGAAATAGCCAGTGCCACACAGGTCATTACTGAAAACCAAAAATACTGATCAGATATTCAGTCCTCTTCTCCCCTTCCCTGTTATTTCTGCAATGGGAACACTGAATTGCAGAAGGAAATGACGACTGTAAATACTTGTTTTAATGCACAGAAAGACTTCAGACCAGCTCCATATGTCTTCTTCCTTAACAGAGACGATAAATCTCCCTTCGAGCTTGTGGTCCACACAGAGATGCTTGCAAACAACAAGAATCAGGGTCATTAGTGTCTTCCGCTCCTGTAGAAGCAGGTGCTAGTTAGTTTCCGATTACTCTGAAGTCTGCCTCACTATCAAAAGGTACAGCCTCTTTGGCATTTCTGTGGTGTTCACCAGTCCTTCAAAGCTGCAAACTCTGGGAGGTGACATGTACATCCATAAGGGCTGTTGTTTGCAGCCATCGACAATTGGCTTCTTGCACCAACTGCCAACATGAAATGTACATGGTAGGAGGTTGCAGAAACGATGTCCTCACTAGTTGAAATTGAAGTTTTTGCTGATCAGCCTACCCGTGACCCATTTTTTCTTTGCTGTATAATGAAGGCTCTTGTGAGACAATCTGCAGGTTCATCTTGCTCACCCAATACAAAAATGTAGGCTGGCAGAGAATCATGACATCACTTATTGTATCCTTCTGCTCTGATGCAGGACAGGAGAGAGACAGACCCTGCACTGCTGGATATTTTTTCGTGTCCTCCAGCAAATGAGCCTCACCAGCAAATGAGCCTTGCCATGTCTAACCATACTAACAATTAGATGGCTCCCTACATCCCTAACTGAAATCTTTCTGCTTGAAAATTTAGCAAGATTTCTTCTTCATCCTATTCACTGTGGACATAAAAAGCAACAGGCCATGATGTCCTTTTTCAACAGCGTTTCAGATGTCCAAAGTTCTTTTCTCCTTCCTCTTTTTTTAGATAAAACAAACCTTATTTTTCCGTTTTATTTCATCAGTCCTTCTCTGCAGCTCCCTCCCACACTCCAAGGGAAACTTTCCTGAGCACAGATGTGCATAACACCTCTGTGGTAAGCAGGGAATAAGGTTGCATGAGTTCACTAATTCAGAAACTCACCTTCTTTCTGTGATAGGACAAGGGGAAAAGGTTTTAAAATAAAGGAGGGGAGATCTAGATTAGATATCGGGGAAATATTCCTCAGAGAGGGTGGTGAGGTGCTGGCACAGGCTGCTCAGAGAGGTTGTGGATGCCCTGTCCCCAGAGGGGTTGAAGGCCAGGTTGGACGGGGCCCTGGTCAGCCTCAGCAGGTGCTCGGTCTAGCAGCTGGCAATCCTGCCAGTGCAGGGAAGTTGATGATCTTTCAGGCCTTTTCCAACGCAAGTCGTTCTATGATTCTATGATTCTGTGGACCATGACCCAGTCTGAACACATCTCTGAAAAGCCCATGCAGCAGCAAGTGGTGGGATCACTTTCTATCCTATTGTGATGTCATTCAGACTTCTGACAGAATGTCACACAGAAAATGACTCAATTCCTGGGGAGCACTAACATCTGCAGTGGAGTAGGGGAACAAGGTAGAAGCACCCTGTGGTTTTCTAATCATGTCTACACCCATGGCTGAAAGAAGCAAAACAGATGCTAATAATTGATTTTTAGGAGGTCAAAAACCAGGCACTGATAATTAGAGGAGCAGCAGGCAAACATTTAATCTGCAGAGGAGGTGGGTGTTTGTAGAGTCAGAAGATCAGGCGGAATGAAGCTTATGGCATGAGCTTCCTGTCTAAAATGGCTTAATGTGGCACCCCAGCCAAACACATCACCTGGGGCTTTGCAAGCCCAGCCAGGAGCAGGAGTTACGAGAGCATCTGAGGTAAGACATGCCCCAGGACACTTGTGAATAAGAGGGTGCTGCTGGGCAGCACAAGAGGTTGCAAGCCAGATGGCAAGGTGCTCTGAATCCACAGAGAGAAAAGGTGGAAAAGTTTTAGCCAGGGGGGAGGCTGAGGACAATTGAGTGATACAGGTGATGCAATACTCACAGCTCTCCTTTGTTAAAAGCCATGCTCAGGAGGGAACCACAGACATAGTGAGGTCTGGCATCCCCAGTGTCACTAGAGGAAAGGAAGGCAGCACACAAGAGGGGCTGGGAGCTGATGGGATGATTGCTGTGCCCTGCCTCAGCAGAGAAGGTGGATGTTAGCAGGAGCTGGAAAGCAGTGCTTGCCAGCTCTCACAAACTGTTCACAGACCCACAAGTCCTCACCATGCGTGAGATTATAGAGGAGTAGAGGGAGAAGACAATCAGTAAAATAAAGCCCGAGTGAAAATTCTTCCAATACAAGACACAGACACAATAATGAGGATAGTACCTAGCCCCTGGCAGGCCTTACAACACCTCTGACCTCAGCCTATTGCTGCACTGAGGCAGAACCCTTCTGGAGCACCTCCACCTGCATGTCTGCTCCTCTACAGTCAATACAACAGAGGCACACACGCACTTAAAAACACACCTAGTTTATGTTGGCTAGTGAAGCAAGAGCTCTACTAAACAGCTAATTAAGAGCTAGTGAGGGAAGGCATGTAGCCTTCTGCCTCTGAGGAACAGTCATGCTGAGAAGTGAATGAAGCACAGAACGTTTGTTATGAAGAGAGAAATTGTTACTCATACCCACGGTAGCAGAAAGGCTCAGGATACTGCCCCTTTCCAGAAAGTGGCAACTATCTGTGTTTTTTTTCGTGACTGTCAGCCCTGTAAGGCTTCCATTTGTCTGAAGGACACAGGAGGAGGTTTGTCATTATTGGGGTCTGGAGACAGCTGTAGCTCTTCTGGAAAATGAAATCCTGTTCTGAAATAGCTGGTGCATTTTTCAATGTTTTTCTTTCCATAACGGGCTGAAAAATCAAAATCTCAGCAAATTTCACAAATGTGGAATAGGTTCAGGGACTGCCTGCATCCTTGCTGCCAAGAAAATGGAAGGCTTCATGTGTGTTTTAAGATCTATCTTTCTGTACCACTAAATCCAGAGGAGACTAATAAAAATGATTGTAAGACTAGAAAACATGACCTAACAGGAGAGACTGAAAAAACTCTGGTTTAATCTGCAGCAGAGACTGGGAGACAGCATGATAGAAGCCTTCAAACATAGGTAGAGAAGATAAAAAGGAGGAAGAGAATAAACAATTCTCCATGTCCACAAGGGAGATGCCAAGTAGTAATGGGCTTAAACTGCAGTCAGGGAAATCTAGTTTAGACATTGGAAAAACTTTCCAGAGTAAGGAGAAAGAAGGCATGGAAGAGATTGCCTCAGGATTTCATGGAGTTTCTAGCATTGAAGGACTCTCAGAACAGGTGAAACAAACATCTGTCAGAAATCATTTCAGTCTAGTTGATCCTTCCCTTGGGCAGAGGGGGAACTAAACGACCTCTTGATGTTCCTTCTAGGCACAACATCTGATAATGGATAAAAGTGTGCAGTGCTGTAATTAAAGACTGAGCAATCGTGAGTGCACACAAGTGGACTGAATCAGTGTTTGCTATGCAGCTACTTTCACCTCTCATCTCCTACTGCCTGTGTGTTTGACTGGGAAACTCTCCTATTCTTCACAGTTTCTTCTGTGTATTACCCAGATGTTGCTAGGATGAAACATCTTGCTAGTTTCACAGAAATTAGTGAGAGTTTGGATGATTTTACACTGCAAAGCAATTCACTTACAAATATATTTGGATTGTGTGCTAATAATATATGAATAATTTATGGTTTATATTGTGGCATTGCCTGGGAGCTGCTGTTAAGGGACAGCATTCCACTCAGTGTGCCTCTGCAAACATGGAACAAAATTATGATCTTTGCCACAGAGAGCCGTTTCACTCTTAGGTTTTAAAGTTTGCATTTCAGCTGAATGGAGAAAATTAATAACAGGACATTGTGATTCCAGCTATGAAATGTGTTTTTTGTGATCAGAGCATACTGGAGATGATTTCAATGTCTTCCAGGAAGAAAACATTTAAACAGCTCAGAGTGTGATTATAACAATCTGATCTTCACACTGAGATCCCCCTTCAAGGTGAAACATTTGTGCTCAGGAACTACAAAGAACTGAACTGTTTCTGACTTTTGCCAAGCAGTCATGGAGAGAAGGCTTTTTCTGGCTAGCAGAACAAGGGAGCATTTTTCTAGGCCATACACATGATCACAATGATCCAACCTGAGATCTGCTTCATGTCTGTTGAGTGCTCTACTGAATTCTCCTTGCTTTTACAACAACTTCTCATCCCCATCATTTTTCTGTGTCTTACAACTACCTCCAGCTAACCCCTCTGAGCAGCTGATTCAAACCATTCGGGAACACTTTTTCCCAGCCTGGACCACCAACATTTATGTGGGAGGTGAAACAAACTAAAGCTTTGCACTAACACAAAAATCCACACCATTTCTAAAATGGTGCTTTGGGTCACATACAAATTATTCAGAAATACACAAGTTTAGATATTTGAGCAACTTCATATGATCTCATGTACACATCCTACCTCATACACAAGCAAGTAACAGTGGCCAGATATATCAAGTACAGTTAACAGTGGCATATTACTAAGTGAGACTGTGGTTCAATCACAGCTAGTTATCATAGAGAACTCCACAGCCTCCAAGCCATGCAGATAAGTATTTTCTATCTGTGCCACTGAAACTCATGGCACAAAGGAGATCTCTTCTCTGAAAGACAGGAAAACTTATGTCCAGAGGTGAAAGAAAGGAAGTTGATGAATTTTTTATGCATGCTAATGGAAGAATGTAATGGCATCCTGCATGGAGATGACAGCAGCTTGGGTACTGGAGATACCAGTGGCCCAGGATGAAAGAATGAGATTGCCAACTCTTCATAAGTAAGAAAAGGTAGGGGGATAACTTGCTCAGAGCCTTCTTCCATCCTCCTCCTGCCTGACAAAGCTTGAGAATTACCAAACATGTCCTACCCTCTCCCACTTCCTCTCCTTGGTCAGAAGGATGATCACCAGCTTGGGATGCATCTGGTATCCGTCCTCACTGAATGACAAATTCCTGCCTTCGAAGGTGACGTTAATCAGGTACCTGTTGGAGAGAGAAAAGAGCAAGATGAACATTAATGCTTGGGAACTGAACCTGAAAGGAGAGCCTGCCTCCCCCTCTGCAATTTGTGCCAGGGTGACAGAAGTACACTACGAACAACTGTTGTTAATCTGGGGACAGCAAAGGAAAATCTGAAAGGAAGTGGGTGGTAGAAACAGTACAAACAGTCCAGGAACTGGGGCAATCAGACAAGGTAGTACACTTGTCCACATTTAGGACTTGAGTACAGAAGTGATGTCCCATGTTAGGTCTCACCAAATTCCTGAAAGCAAGTGACAAGTGTACGTGTGCCCACAGTCTTTGATTTCTTCTTTGCACACAGGGCAAAGAAATCCATAGCAATTAGCTGTGTAAACATGGTCCACAGCCTACATTTTGCTCACTCTCCAAGGGGGATTTCACATTTCATTTGAGGACAGTAGTGGCTCACACGTGAAGCAGTGGATACAGCCCCTCCCTGCCCAAATATCCAGGCAGCAACAAAGGAAGCCGCAGGGAACAGAGGAATGAACAGTGCACCTGTGAGATACCCTGTTCCTATTAGAGTTAGCATGCCCTACAGGGCCAAAAGCGATCCTCAGAAACAGCTTAGGAACAGGGTCAGAGGGTGCTCAGATACCCCAGTGGAAGTCCTTTTCACTAGGACAGAGCCATGCCATGTACCCAGCAAGATCAAACTATAGGGTGACCAATCCTGTGGATCCCTGCAGCCAACATTAATGATTCCCTTTGTCTGGAAGGGCTCCGTCGCTGCTGTGTGAGGCACCCCGCTTTGGGCCATCTCATGTCAGCTGTACAAATGGACTATTAAACAGTCCAGGCTTCAGTCTCATTCATCCTCAGGCCTCTTCACTCAGCCGGCAGTGGGGAAGACCTTTAAGTGGACCGAGATTACAACTACACTCATTTCCAGGCATTTCTGCATTGCGAGAGTATGTTGAAGCGGCGTTGCTGTAAAAGGGAATCAGATCTGTTGTTTTCTTAACTGTCAGACCATCCAGAATGACACTGGGGGGAAGGCAAATACACATTTCACAGTTCAGTGGCTTACAAGACATCTCCATGGCACTCTGACAGTTTCCCCTGTTCATATATTTCACTTTAGTTCACAGTCCTGTTTCATAAAGTAGGTTTTGCCTTTGTACACCTGCTCTAGCACTAGTAGCATCACATCATGGGAGAGGCAGAGGTGACTGAGCTGCCTGCAGGGCAGCCCCAGGACACTGCCTGCCTCTGCTTCACCCATTCTCCTGTAAATTACACAAGTAAAGTTTCCATTACAGTCACAAGAGGCTCTTCTGCTCTATTACACCCATGACGCTAGCAAACATTTCCTAATACTCAGCTTCAGTTTGTCCCTTTGAACTTAATTTGAACCAATTTCAAGGGAAAAACAATCAAATCAAAAATACAAAACAAATTCCTGTCCTTTCAAGAGGTTCACACTTTCCCACAGAGAACTCCATACTAATTTAACAAAAGTATAGGTAGTAGGCAAAATTTTTCAAATGGAAAAGCAGGTCACAATTTTAGCTTCTTCCATTTCCCAGAAATTTTTTTCTTAAGTTTAATAGTCAACAAAACTCATCCACTAATTTCCCAAATCAAATGTAATTGGCAATTAATTCTAAAGGAAATTCCATACTTGCTCTATGTTGTGACCTCCAGAAGACATACACAGTGTGGAAAACACAGCCCTACAGAAGCCCAGTGGGAAACACTGCAACAGGCCTATTTTCAAGAGCAGACTACTTGATGTTTTCTGACAGTCAGACTCATCCAGAACCCAAAAACCAAGGGAACTCCAAATCATCAGTTGCTTGAAAAATCTCAGCCACATAACTGTGTCTTAGTGTAAAACATCCCATGGTCTTCTTGCTTTCCATCCCCAGCTGTTTGCATTGCTCTGGTAGAGAGGAACGCACAGCACAGACCACCACGGGCATTTGTGGCCTACCTGACCTATGAAACGCTCTGACAGTGATAAAGACCTTTCAGTCTGTGACCAGACTCTGAGCATCCTGATCTAGCTGTAGGTGTCCCTGTTCACTGCAGGAAGTTGGATCAGATGGCCTTTAAAGATCCCTTCTAACTCAGAAGACCATGATTCTGAGATTACAGCTATATCCCTTTCATGACCTCTGTGCGCTGGGTCTCAGAGGAATTACAAAGCAAGGCTCCAAGAAGATGAGTACCCCAGTAGCCTGATGGGAGTTGCAGCTTTACGTGTCAGTATTTAGAAAACAGTGTCAGTGTCTAATTAAACAAATAGTGATATTAGGTGGTTCTCGGTCCTCTTTCCCCTCCCACCCGAGAATGATGCCATTGTGTGAATCTCCCTTGCACAGCCTAACAAGAGGAGATCACACAAATCAGTAAGAGATACAACACAAGAGGGTGTAATTTCTGTTTGTTTTCTACCAGAAAGATTAGAACTGCTAATAATAATCAAGGAGGAATCATCAGTGACTCCGATCCTTAGAGTTGCCTTGAGATTTACACTGAAAGCAGCATTAAAATCCCTCACTTCGCACCTTAATGACTGAAATTAGTCTCCAAAATTGGCACAATAACTCTTCAGAGGGTTCTCTCTGTAACCCTTTAGTAACATGTTTACAAAAGTGTGCAGGAAGTGTGCAAAAAAAAAAAAAAAAAAAAAAAAAAAAAAAAAAAAAGAA